AAGCGAGGAGCTTTGGCATGATAAAGAGCTTCAGACATCTCCCAGGGGACACGTCTCTGTGACGTCGTTGTTGTTTCTGGAGTCCCAACACGGCGAAGGCTTTGGGCTGTTAATCTGCCTGCTCTTCATTTGGGGTTTAGCTGTGGTGGGGGGAGGGGGGAGCTGTGTTTCAGCGCAGTGAGGGTTTCTGAGAACCTTCCGCTCATTCCGCAGTCGGTGGGTAACGGCGCGCGGCCTGCCACAGTTTCCATGGCGATCCTGCCCTGAGCAGTTCCGCGGCCCTTGTTGGGCTCGCATACGTGTCGCGATTGTGCCCTTTGGCTGTTAATCACTTCGCCGCTTCTCATCAGCCGGGCAAAGCTGACTGCGATGACTCGTCCATCCATTGTGTTGCCTGGGCTAATTCGGCATGACTGCTCACCTCGCCGGCCCTCCTAATGAGAGCTGCATGCTGCTGCGAGTTTCTCTGCGGTCTGAGAGACGCGTTTGTGTGCCTGTCGCCGGACGAAGCCTCCGTGAAGGTCGTCGGCGTCTCTGCTGCTTTCGTACGAGCTGTTCTTCTATTCCCCTATCAAACGCCGTCCCCAGAACACCTTGTCCCATCCCAGTGCCCTCGTATTGTCTTCCGGACTGCAGGCTGTTCCTCGCTTTGCCTTATATGGGAGAAGGCGGAGAGACTTCCGGAAGGAAGCGTCTTACTTTTCTGAAGTCAGACATGATGAAACTAGTGCTGCCTGCAGTGGAACGGAGACACTCAGACACAGAGAGCAGCATTTTAATGTGATGAGTTGGTACTAAGCTTGCCTTTGATTCTGCAGCCTGTTATCCCAGTGCAGTTGAAGCTGTCCAGTCCTTCAGTTGCCAGTTCGAGTCTCTGTGTTTAATCTCCCATGTAGCCCTTATAACCACCTCGGCACCTCCTCTCGTTAGATTCCCATAGGATGAACTCCCTGATATGAGTGTCTTACACGCTCTGTAATCTTTAATGCTGCATTCGCTGCACTAACTCTGCCTGTCTATCAACTCTGAGTGACGTTTCCACTGGAAGCAATAGGCATTCAGTGCGGAATAATATTTTGCAGTTATAGAGAAATGTATTTATGAAGCCGGCAAGGCCGGAGCGCTGTGATTGGAGTGTGTTGACTCTAACGGCCAATCAGAGTTGTTCTCTTCTCCCAGTAGGAATGCACGTTTTGGTCACCGTGGCGACGCAAGGAGGTTGGGGCGGAACAGTCTAAACCAGGCTTCAGTAAAGATGCACAAAGCCCTGTTGGCCTCTCTGTTGAAATTTATCGCAGTTATTAAACTGTAAGTTATTAAACTTAATGAGGCCCTGCTTTAAAGCGGGGCAGCTCTGTGCCCCCCCTTGCCTCTCTCCGTTCCCCTGGAGTTTACTGAGCCTGTAATTGGCCATCAGCACTGGTCTCTTTCACCATTAGAGTTCCAAATGGGAAGGATCCAGACGTTTTACTTTGTTATGGAGTATCAGCACGCCCCTGGGGAACCAGGCAGCCCGTGGCAGGGAGGTGTGGCCAGAGCTCGATGACCTTTCACAAAAGGTCGACCGACCTGCCTGGCCAGAATGACAAGGTCTCCTCGGAGCACAGTGCCATTGTCCATGTTACACTGGGAGGGAGAGTGTCCAAATACAAAACATTTCGGGAACGGAAATGCAAATCCACACAAAGCCAGAAGGACAGTGGCTTCTCCCGCGTGTCTCAAGGCTATGATGTTAAATCAAGGTGACGGCCACCAAACGCTCCTCATCTAAATTAGCTCTGAGAGGAGTGACACCCTGTGGGCATAGGCGTTTGGATGTGATGCCCACGGCACAGGCTGCTTCTGCACAGATAACACACACACACACACAAAGTACGCTTGTGTTTCTCTAGCTGTGTTTTAATCGTTTTAATGTAATTAATGGTCCCAACATGGGGAAATGGCTGTATATTTCTGGGCTACTCTGTAAGGTCCATGTTCTCGAAGCTCTCCAAACATATTCCCAGCGGGGGCGTGCAGGGGGCGTGGTGGGGGCATGGCGTGGAGGGGGCATGGCGTGGAGGGCGCGTGACACGGTGGGGACGTGCAGGGGGCGTGGAGGGCGTGTGACACGGTGGGGACGTGCAGGGGGCGTGGTGCAAACACTGACACACGGAGCGGAACTCCGAATCTCCTAGTGACCTTCCTGGTGACCTTCCTGTCCTGCTCCGCTTCGCCTTCCTCCCACTTTCTTCTCTGCCTGCTCCCCCCTCTCTCTCCTCTCCCCCCCCCCTCCTGGAGGTCACCTTTTTCTTGACGTGTCTAATTAGGTGTGTTTACCTTCTGGGGGTCATTTATCAGCAGCGCACATCTCCTGTCCCTGGGGGCCGAAATTAGGGCCCGCAGTTTTCTTTATGCCTTTTAGATTTTGTGATTCTTTCACTGACTTAATTGTGGTTTTTCTTTGTTTTAAGCAGAATTAAGGAGGAAATAGGAAAGGACTCGTTACACAGACAGAAATGGGAGGTGGCTGTTTAGTTGGTTTGCGTCTATCATAAAGAATTGCCAGTACACCCCATGTCACCCGTTTACATGAAGCAGAAGAACATAACCAACACCGTACCCTGGAGGGTAAAAATTATCCTGGGTATATCGCCTGGGTGCCTCATTAGCGCCTCTTACAGGCCTATCAGGCACCTGCAGGTTTATGCAGGATTTATTCATCCTGAATTCATTTAATATTCTAAAACATGGGGGGAAATGATCTGGGTACCAGCAGCTGAGTGTGCATGTGGGATGCCACCAGACTGGTCATGTGACCTGGGGTGGGGGCCAGGGCATCCCTCCAATCAGAAAGAGGGTTTGGTGTTACAGGAGTTTAATTACCTTTAATTTAATGAGCTGTCCTGTTGTGTGTTTCCCAGGGGACTGGCGGGAGCCTGGCAGTTTACTGGGCTGACTCGCATTTCACTGGGCAAACTGGATACGGGGGCAGACATGTGAATTTGGCTCCTCTGGGATCCACAACATGGCGGCTCAGATTAATATTTCATGATTTGACTTTTCAGACGGTTATGCTGAACTTGCACGGGAGGACAAATGGAAAGTTTCTCCTTAAAATGGCGTGATCATTTCTCGTTTCATTTCTCTGTGAGCCAGTAATGTATTTATTTTGTGATTTTCTCATTGTGGAGTCGAACCATCTGGATAGTTTTCCTGATAGCTTTTCTGTGTGAATTAAGGATGTCATCAGCCTCATGGAAGGTTTTGGAAGCTGAAAGAAGGCTTTTGTCATTCACGTTTGATTGTTCAGTTGGCCTCCCTGAGCCCTGTATCACAGAGCAAGATTTAGTTAGCCGGATAACTTGTCAGATTTAACGTAGTCTGGGCTTAATGTAAGTGAACAAAGATAAAGTACATTTTAAACTGGGCTAACTTAAATCTGGCCCCTGGCATGAAAACAGCCGTCAGTCGTAGGTGGTTGTGTTTCTTTTCAGCCGAGCCTTTCCCCACCAGAAGAAAATGCACGATATACTTCATCTGGTCTGCTCAGTCTGCCTCCATGACACAGAAATGCGCGCACACACACCTCACCTGCACGCCGGCCTTCTCGTAGACCTCGATGCTATGTGACTGTTATTTTTAAATGCTGGTGTCGGGTTTGGCCGCTGCTCTTTGTGGTAAAGGGCTCTGGCCGGCGCACGTGGATAATGATTTAAGGTTTCAGGCATGAGGTTGGTGCCTGTGAGGTAAGGTGCTGTCACAGGACACTTTCCTGTCACTGTCACATGACTTCTCTTCTCTGGTAGCCCGCATCCACCGTCTGTCAGCCGGCCAACAAGTTCAGAGAGTCCGCTTAGGTCTGGCCTTCAAGGTCACTTCCCTGTGTGTGTTTGCGAAGGATACTTCATTGATATGAAAGTAGACATCTTGAGACGGATGTTTTGAGGATGCTCCCAGAAAAGGCCGTCACCTGCTTCTTCAAGATACAGTTTTATTGATTCCGGGGGAAATTCTGGTGCATACTGCAGCGAGACACGTAGAGTGCAGGCGGGCGTAGATCAAGTGGCAGACAAAGTGTAGAGACAAGTAAACATCGTACAAGCAAATTAAACAGAAACTGAAAAGCAGAATATTGCAATAAAGTTTTAAAAGATTTTTTAATGAAAGTAAGGTACCCAAGTTATTTTGGTGTCTGTAGGATACATTTCAGCAGGCAATTACAGCAACACTTTTCCTGTTAAGTCCATTGTTTTCTTTTCTGCCGTCGAAGGACACGGATGAATATTAATGTTGTTTGGAGATGCAGTTTCCATAACACCAGGCCCTGTAAGCACAAATTAAACAAAATGTCCCTGTCATCTGCCCTGCCTGATCCATCACGGAGCCCAGTCAGTCTGTCCCTTCCCAGTTCCTCAGCCCCATATCCAGCCAGTTTATCCCTGGTTTTATCCTCAGGCACCTTTTAGCATTTCAGGTACACCCCCCGGGCTAAAAAACATGCAGGGGTCTGGGTGTCTCTGAGTTACACCTCAGGACGTTTAGCCTGATTTATTCCTTTATTATTGTACCGATCTGTATTGCTTTTTGATTTTTAGATCACAGCTTAGCCTTAAAAATCTTTGGTTGTTTATTTCCAGTTACATTTGGTATTTATCCAGGGACCCAGTACTGGGTAAGTGGTGGGTAGATGGGTGGATAGTCTTAAAAATAAACCTGTAAATCTATCATGTCATCCTTAGATGGGTTTGTTTAATAGTTCTTTGTGGTTCTAGGGCTTGTGGTTCTTTGTGGTTCAGCAGTGTGTAATCCCCAAGGCAATGAGCTCCCAGTTTGGGTCATTCTCCCACCTTACACCGTACACAGGCTCCAGGGCAAAGGGCAGCAGCTCTGTGAGGAATTTGGGAGCCGCCCGCGGAATTCTAACTAAGCAGGGCACGCCCGTCTTTGGGGGGGTGTGGTGTCCGTGCTCTGGGTCCTAACGTGCTCTCTCTCTCTCTCTCTCTCTCTGTCCCCTCCAGTCACAATGAGCGGAAAGTGACCTGCAAACATCCAGTGACCGGCTCGCCCTCGCAAGACAACTGCATCTTTGTCGTCAACGAACAGTAAGTCACTTCACCATCATGCAGTGCTCGTGGCATTTCTGTGCAGACTTACGGGCCCATCGGCGAGATTCTGGGGCAAATGGGTTCTGCGACCCGGGCAAGCACTGGATGCGTTGAGCGTGGCACAGGCACGGAAGAGCTGGGAGAAGCTGGAGCAGACAGGGCATTCCCCCCAAGAACCTCTAAAACAGCCAGCCAATTTTCTAAGCCAACAATGTTCCTGTTCCCTAGTCCCCCCGCAAACCCCGCCCCCCCCCGGTTCTACTAATGCCGTGATCAATGCGTTTTACCGCCGGACTGCAGGGGTAATTACGCGCCCGTTCCGCTGCCCTGTTCCTGTCTCGCGAGCTTTAATAACCTGTCATTGCAGGTTCTGCTGCTCTCCTACCCAGTCGGACAGACATTTCATCGTTACCTGCGTCGCCAATATGAGCTCAGCAATATGTCACCGAGTTTCATATCACCAAGTTTGCCCTTCCGCCTCACCTCAGGGTCAGAGGTGCTGAGTGAGTTGCTGAGGCAAATATAAAGCGCCGATTAAGTGGCCTTTTCTTATGCCCTTCCCATGTGACTGGGCTCTTTTCACATGCCCTTCCCATGTGACTGGGGTCTTTTCACATGCCTTGCCCATGTGACTGGGGCCTTTTCACGTGCCTCGCCCATGTGACCACAAAGGCATTACTGACACGGGTCCCATTCCTGGTGACAGTCTGTCGCTTCTGTCCCACTGCCACTGAACTGTGCTAAGGAAAAACATGAAAAATGAATGAGCGTTGAGCTTTGTTTCTTTATTTCCGAGTTCAGATAACAGATGAGACGCATGACAGAATTATTCATGCTGAAAAAATACATGCCTTTCAAACAGAAACAAGGGGCCTGTATCACAAAGCTCGATTTTCTTACTTAGCCTTGACAGATTTAAGGTACCCCGGTTTAAATGGACTTTATCTTTGTTCATTTACATTTATCCCAGACTACCTTAAATCCTACAAGTTATCTGGCTAAGCAGAAATCCTGCTTTGTGATACAGGGCCCTGGTCTGTTCCTGCTTCTGTATTAATGGTGATATTACTGTTTTCAGTTGCTTTATTCTCTGTCTGCCGTGAGCTGAACAGAGACGTCATGTGCATTGCGGTACTCCGTAGTGAGAGCAGAAAAGCACCTTATTTACTCTCCTGTCACCTCCTGCCCCAAACTCCTCTGCTATCTCCTGTACTGCACATGTGAGGTTGGGGTTAGTTAGGGTTGCTGCATATGACAACGCACTTTTCCTGCAAATTTAGACATCAGTCCATATTACTGTAATGTCACAAAATTTAAAACGAAAATCCAATGGGAAACTTGCTGAAGGGGGGTTTTCCAGGTGAAATCACGTGAGCTTAATGTTTTTCTCAAGCATTGTGCGCCTGCCAAAATCAGGCAGATTTTTTTGGCCGCCCTATAGGGTGACGCTGGTCCATCTCCCTGAGCCGCAGGCTCATATCGCCACATTCACGAGTGTCACACCCATAAACCAGCATTAATCACTTCAGCTCTCGGGGAGAGATTACAGAGCTGCGTTTGTGCCAGGAGTGTCACTCTGCGAAATGTGAATTTCCCCAGGGCTGGTGTTAAGGGCCAAGTTTTGTGTTTAACAAGAGGGCAGCAGGGCTCTGACCGTGCCCACTTCCTCTGCCGGGCTCTGCTCTGCAGTCCCCCCCCCCGCCATGGCAGATAGGACCACAGTGACATGAAATCCTGCCAAGACTGCCCCCCTAAACTGATCATAATCAGTTTTATTATCGGTATGCTAGTGCAGCCACAAGAATTAAAAAACAATAAAGATAAAACTGAACAACCTAATGAAGACGACACTAGATATATCATCACCCAGAATACGGAATGAGGGAGATAACGGGTGAATTGTGCCGGAGAGCGATAAAAAAAGAACAAGACAATAGAGAAACAGTAACCTGGGCATATAGATCCTGAATATATTCAAGATCCAAGAAGGTTTGTTATTCCGAACACATGGGGTGGCGTTAAAGGGAACGAAATTACGTACTGAGGTCGGAGAAACAGCACTATAATCTAAAAACAGACATTCAGTCCAATAAAGAATTAAAAACCATAAACAGTGCAGATACGTATTACGCTGAATGTATTGCATTTACTATTAAATAAATAAGGTACTTTGTGAATGCGTGTTGGGGGGTGCGTTGTGTTCTTATTGATGAGCGGTACCGTCTCCGCGCTCCGGCCCCCGTCCATCACGTTCTCACCCCCTTCCTTTGTGTTTTAGCCTGACTTGCAGGACAGTCATTCGGCCGGTAATAAGCAGGTAACGCTCCCCGGGGCGCCGACTGGCTGCCGGAGGCTCCGTCTTTCTGCCTGTTTCCCGTCTTTCGTCTTGTTTGTGTCAGACTCACCTGCTAACCCGCTTCATTTTATCCGCATTTCTTTAGTGTTTGTCTCGTTTTTAAAAGGCCCGGACCGGGCAGCCGCTCTGTCCGCCGATTCCCAGCCGGTCGCCGGGGCGGTCAGTCCGTCTCAAAGTCGTCGCACTTCCCGTGTCCCTTTTACCATTTTCCTGAGACTGACAAGCTGAATCGCTGTAGGATTGTGTTAAAAAAAATAGCTTTGCATAAAGCGTGTAAGTCTTCGTACATGGAAGCGACCGTAAAAGATACACATGTGAATGTAAGGAGAGCGGACGGCTCCTGGCGAGGCCTCAGGTTAGCCTGCCGGAGCTACGCTATCACAATATTTAGCTTCTTTTATTTTTCGAATATCACAGGAAGGAATTTTTCTTTTCCTTTTTCCTTTCCTGTGTTTGGGGGTTCTGGGGGCTGGCTGCTTTATGGAATACAGTCGAACTTCGTTACAACGTACCTCGGGGGAATTAAGAATTTGTACGTTATAACCATAGTACGTTGTAACCAAGTCCCTCAAAATGAATGATAGAACACAAAATGTATATAAAAAAACTTTTAGAAAACACCCCTCAAGTAGACACTATGACATACAGCTTGTGTAGTTTGAAGAATATAATAGGAACTATATTCTTCAAACTAGGTTAATATCAGTTACTCATAGACAGCCAACATAATGCAAAATCCACTGCCGGCTTATCGTTCAAATCGCCTTACTGTAACCTAATGTCAAACCGAAATTATGCACCTGTATATGATTCAATTGGCTGAAATAAATTTCGATACATGTGTTAGACATCTGTCTTTTGTTAATTTCTTTCACTATATGTCACACAATTACCCCAATAACCACACAGTTTCAGAACTTAGTTGGCGTCGGCAGTATAAGGCTGCCATGTATAATTCTGAATTATTTCCACCTTGCCGGTCAGCGAAATCCGTTTCCTTTTAGCAGGCATCTTGCTTGATATGCGGCAGCATGACACCATGCAAAGCCATGAAAAAACGGGGGCTGCATGCAAGGAGTCCGGCCGGCGTGGAATGCTTCGTGAGGATAGGTTCATACAGTTAGGCGTTGCTAAGCGATGTAGATGGCCGGCAACAGCCGATTCTGAATTGTGCGCGCGCTCCGAAGATGAGGCTGTACGTTGTAACGAAGGTCAATTTGCCTATTTTCCTCTGAAAATCATACGTTATATCGAAGTTTATGCTGTAAAGGTGTACGTTCTAAGCGATACCGGCAAATGGAATAATGCATTACGCGAATTCGGGACATCGAAATTTGAACGTTGTATTGGTGTAAACGTTATAAACGGGGTACGTTGTAACGAGGTTCGACTGTATTAATGTTTTAATACGTTTAAGTCTGATATGTTTGACTGCCTGCATTTTATATTTGATTTTATTTTCCCTTATTTGGACACCTAGAGAATTGAGTTTTTTCCCCAATGTACTGGGTACCAGTAAGCCCAGATCCCCTGGATCTCGCCCCCATCGCTTACGGGCTGGGGGCAGGACTCTCTGCAGGGTGACTCCAGGCCAACAGGGGGCGCTGTGGGGCCAGGATGCACAGCTTCAGCATCACAGCAGTCACCGATTACCTGCCACAAATGGTGTCCTTGACCTTAGCTGCTGAGGATGGGTTGGACCGGTTAAAATGGCACTCTCGGTGTAGGGGTGCGTGACAGGAAGTCACCTGAGTCGCTTTTAAAAAAAAAAAATGTTATCACACTAAGATCACGAGGGCGTGAAACGTAAACATACCGACACAGATGCGATTTCATGTTAGCCGAGTGAAACGGCTTCCTGATAAGTAGGATGAATCATGGCGTTTACCAAATACAAACCACAGGAACTGCAGGCCCCCGCCCCAATGACTCGGGAGTCAGGACTAGTCGTTTCATGTGTTGGGAATGTGATTAGCGCCTCTTTCCTAATCACAGTCCCCCCCCCCCCACAAACATGCCAGCACACACTGATGACCCCA